ACATTGAACATTGTACTTGTATTCACCATCTGTGTCTCAATATGTGTTATCTTTACAGTAGTGATGCTTGGAACCAGATAATAACGAGAAGCTGCAGCTGTTGATCTCTTCCAATGATTTTCTAATGAGTTGTGTCAAAGCTTTGAGAATCTTTCCAACATCAGTTTCTCACAGATGCATGGTTCAAGTTCTCGTTTACGAATGTTCACAGGGTTTTGCTCTGTAGAGTATAAAGAGTATGAACGCCTCGATAATAAAAGTCCTTCTTCGTAGTTTTAAATTCTGTTTAAAACAGAAAATGGTTGTTATGAAAACTCCTCTGACTCGCTCCGAGCTGCAACAGATAATAATAATACACTGCTTCTCCACCAATGTCTGTAATTCATGATATTTGCTCTTATGTTTCTGAATACTTTTTATAATTTACACACATTTGCATTCGTTGCAAATGAAACGTCCACATGGTCGAGGCCTGAGTGCTGCCGATACACTGCTGGAATCATAAATAATGACAATAAGATTTATATCCAGTTTCTCACATTCACTGATATCTATCCATAGTTCCTCCGCTCCAACTGCCACTTCCCAGAAAACTGCAATATCAGTGACAATGAAGACATTTTTTAAAAATTAAAAATGTCATTCTATGAATCGTTGAAACCTCTTTTATTCCTTGTGAGCAGCACAGCGATAATAGCGCCTTCCAGCTTAATGTACGCCTGATCGCTCTGCGCTGCTGGCGGCGGCTGTCTCTCCACAAAAGAGGCAGCCTTAACCTGCTTTCATACCTGAGCGACAAAAGCTGGAGGACAGAGAAATGATTAAATGTAGTGATCACACAGTTAACCCTGGTTACCTGCTTCTTCTCCCTCGAAGGATGTCGGGGGGAAAACTGAGATGTGAACTTAAGTGTCCAATTTTCTCTCCGTATGAATGAGTCCGTTAAGACTCTTATTTAAACAGGGAACATTTAATTACCACTTCGAACTTTTTGCTCCCAATTTATTTATGTATCGCTTTAATTCCTCGGCTCCTCGTGGGTGCAGACGATGGCCCACGTCTCATCTGCTAACATGGAGGAGGCGGGCTTGTGACCTGTAATGCAGTCAGCCAAAACACCCACAAAAAAAAAATAACAATAATAATCTCTTGTTATTTAACTGAATGCAGAAACAGAGGATGAGCCGCATAGTGTTTCCCATTATTTCTTCACAGCCCCAGTGATCCCACAATTTGCAGCTTTTTCCAGCGTTGCACTCGTCGGGAAGTCGCACGGCGCCGGAGCATCGGCCAGCCGTAAATTGAAAGTCAAAGAGGGGCGTTGGATAAATGAACGGCCTCCTGCCTCCCTCCCAACGCAGCCGAGGGATGCATCATACTTAATTGACATCTAGACGCTTGTGGCATTTATCTGTTTATGAGCAGCGCGGTCGCGTAGACAGGCGCAGTGTAAACATGAGGAATATGCTGATGGGCGCTGCAATCGCATTCACATCCAAATCACACACAGCAGTGAATCACAGCTGTTTTGTTTTGATTTAGTTTTTTATGTCGACTTGACTTAATCTGACGTAATCGACATGATGTCAGTTTTGTCAGTTTTTATCTGGGTGATTGCCGACAGCTGTCAAACTGTAAAATAGGACAAATGAACGTATTTGAGAAGCTCAAGCTGGTTTATGATGAATTACTTTATTTATTTAATTATTTTGTTTTGTTTCTCCCTCTGTTGGGAGAGGGAGAATTGCTTGAATCTGACAAATGAGTCTAAAGACGGATGATTCTGCCCCTCGTCTCCTGGAAGTGAGTTCATCAGTGGTAGTAGTAGTTAATCTAATACATTGTTGAGACAATAGAAGATTTAAAAGCTATGAAAATCAGAAAACCATGAATCAACCAAAATCCGTGTGACATTTAACAGCAGCAAATAACATGGTTCTGATGCACGACCCTGAAAAACAGCCAGCGAGCAGTGGAGTCTGTTTTGTGCAGGTGCTCATGTCGGTCTGAGGAAGAGAGAGTTTCCTCCTCCTCCTCCTCTCGTCTCGTCTGGTTCCTCTGAGCCGGTCAGCTGATTCTGCACCGGGCTGTTTGGAGTCAAGCTCTGTGGAAATGAATCATTTCTGATGCCATCTCATGCTCGCTGCTTCGCTTCCTCTCACTCCTTCAGTGTTAAACTTAGTTCTCCTCATATCACTTTTTTGGCCATTTTGAAACTTCCCCACTCTGCGGCCTCCTTTTATTCTCTCTGATTTTCAGTCATTCCTCTTTATTCCCTCCTCCGGTCTCCCCCTGCAGCTCCATCGCCTTCAGTCTCTCTCTGATTTAGTCACTTAACTTTTATAAATCTCCTTCCTGAGCTTCTGCGTTTCTCTTTTATTCTCTTGCGTTTAGCTTTTCCCCATGAATTTTTCTCTTTTCTCTCTTTCAGCTCGATACTTTCCTTTTTTGTAATTGACCACAATGGCAAAACAAAGTGATTCATGGCTTTGATGAGAATGTGTGTGTGTGTGTGTTTGTTTCACCTTCTTTATGAACTGTAAGAGTTGTGAGTTTACTTTTATAATTGAAGGAAAATAAATTAATCATATGTTCAAACAAGAAGAGAAGCAGAACGTGAGGAATGATGCGGAGGTGGAGGAGGTAGATAACTGAGACGTAGGTGAACTGGAGCTCGTAGCTGCTCTTCCTGTCAATTCAGGTCACGGAGAAAACTTCAGTTAGTTTGCATTCATGTGTTTTGCATGTGTGTGCACGTCTGTCGTACAGTTAAAACGAATAACTGCCTTGACAGCCCGTTGTCTCCCTGAGGGTAGAGAGCGAGGTTCAGTGACTGAGTCAGTGCTCAAGTGCACTCACATCACAATGAGAAGGTCTGATTTATTCACACACACACACACACACACACACACAGACACACACACACACGTATAGTAATCATGCAAACACACTCTGTGCATGACACACTATATGTTTGACATATGAGATTCATGCCTGCACTCATGGGAGGGCACACGGATCCTTGCATGCTTTAAATGCAAAAACAATAAGCAGGCACGCACACACACACACACACACACACACACACACCAATGAACAGTAATCACACAAACACACTGCTTGACACACAATTCATTAATGCACTCGTGGGAGGGCACATGGATCCATGCATTCTTTAAACACAAAACAATGAGCACACACACACACACAGAGACACACACCACACTCGCGGTCACTGTGTTTCACAGCTGATTTGCAGGCTAAATCCCAGTCAGCCCATTCACCTCCATGCTGTGACATGTAACATATTGTCCTAATCAATCCCTCACACACTAAGAGGCTTTTTGCGCTGGAGCCACCCGGGGCTAGGCAGCGGTTAGCGAGTGCTTATCCCCTTTTCTTGCGGAGGGAGCGTGAGGCACGTTCCCTGCAAGAGTTTTATCTTCGCAGGCGCAGCGGCTGGCTGAGAGGACAGAGAGCGAGGGGAAGAGAAGACGTGGCAAAATGACTTGATTCCAGGGCATGAACAGACAATGACTCTTTCATTTGAAGCCTCATGTGTTCGTATGTTGGAAGCCGGCAAATATATATGAAGAAATGCGTTAATGGAGGATTACAAGTTGTGTTTGCTCCCTCTGATCCTTCCTCTGTTTGTTTTTCTTCCAGATTTAGTTTTCTCTCTTTCTCCCTTTGCAGAATTACAAGTTAATTTAAGTGCGTTCATGTCAAGAAATCACAGATATACACAATATATTGTGTTTACATCTAATTTAAAAAAAAAAGCTGTTTGTTGACAACTAATCCAAATACAAAGAGCCATTGCTGAGAGGCCGGGACTCTTGGTTACAGCAGCAGTGTTTTTAATGAGCACAGTTTTAACAAGGTGCACGACAGCACGATGCGAACATGCACTTTAAAAAACCACACAGCGCTCAAGAGGGTTTCTGCAATCCTGTTGTCGAGCAGAATTTGTCCTGCTCGTAGTTTTCCTGCAGCGCTCGCATGCAAATCATGTTTCTGCGGAAAAGCCTCAAATGCATTTTCTGCTACATCAGTTTCCTTTGACAAATCCATCTGAAATTCAGTGGGAGCTTGTCTCTTCTGTGGAGACTGTTTGGTTGCGAAGAGCTGACAGAATCTGTGGCGCTGCTGATTCTTGTTTAGTGAAAAAAAAAAAAACATCACAGTGACAGTTTTTAAACCAAAAAAGGGAACGTACAGGCTGAGCAGACCGCCACACACAGTCGAAGGCAGGGTGTTAAGAGAACTCCACTTGGCCAAGTCAAACCGGGTTTTCTGACACGGCCTGTGGATCAGCAGAGACGCTGCTTCTGACCGTCCACCTTTCATCTCTGTTTTACTCTGAACGGACGGGACAGCTCCGGGCTTGTTCTCGGTGAACCTGCGCCGGCCTGTCTGACCGACCGCTCTCCACAAATCTACTTTTCATGCTCACGCAAAGAGACACAGGTGCCTTCAGCTGAATTTCAAACGGATTAAAGAAGCGGTATCGCGGTTGTCGGTGCTCAGGTTGCTGGAGGCTCGCGCCCCCCCCAGCGACGCCCCCTGGTTGGCGAGCGTTACAGCACCGAGAGGAGCCTGAAGGCCGTCGGCTGAGGCGCTGCCTGAGGATTGTAATGAAAGGCTCCTGATTCAGATTGTTTTCCTTCCTCTTTAATGAACTCGTCTTTGTTTCCTCGCTCTGTTTCCGTCGAGCTTCTCCGTAACCTTGTTTTTAAATCGTCTTGAACACATGAAGGAGGTCGGCCCTCCCATCTGACAAAAACAAAACAAGTGGGAGGGAGAAACATCCATCACGGGAAATTCATTTAAACGGCATCAGATTCATAATGAAACAGAGAACTAATGCTCCGTGTTTACCACCGCTCCCTGTCTCCACCGGCTTCTTCTTCTTCTTTTCAGTTCAAACAAACACTTTATTAATTATTCAAAAACTATTGGTATGGTGGATGATTGCATAATTCCCTCCCCCCTCTTCTCTCCACCTGTCTGCAGGTATCAGCGCTCAGAAAGTGCGAGTGGACGAGGAGCTGGAGGCGTATCCCACGGAGTCGGTTGATCTGCGTTGCCAATTCATCGACGGAGCGGGACGGACCAAGCTCACGCAGGTTGGCTGATGAAAACACTGATGTTTTTATAAGCTTTCAAAGCAGTGGAGCTCAGAATGTGAAAGTTAGATTGACAAGGTGGTTGAAGCTAATGGAGCGAATTCATTGGAAAAACACGGGGGGGAAGTGTTGATTTGTTTACAGGTCAAACTCATTTGTTTCTTTTAAAAAGCTTCTAAACTGTCTTGATCAACCTTAACTTAACTAAGTATTTTAGAGATGATCTAAGTGATTCCTCGTCTTTCCATCAACTTGCATGTTTGAGTGAATTTTGACAATTGTGATGTATTGTCTTACAAGATATGGGGAAGTGGAAGAGAAAGTGAGGAAATGATTGAATTTTGTACACAGATGACAAAGAAGCTGTTTGCAGAAGTTCAGCGGGGGAAACACGTCATTTATTCACGGCAGATGCACAAACAGTTGTTCGAAGATCGCTCTCATGTGCAACAGATGCCGAGTGATAGGTGCTCGGACTGAAGTGTGAAAGAGAAGTTCTTATGCACGACTGCAGCTCAAACTACAAGATGTGAGGAAGTAACGATGCACACAGCTACACAGTGGAGCAAAACAAGAATTTACAGATCTCCTCTGTCATTATGGGACGTAGAAAACAGAACCTTCTGCTGCCACAGTCTAAATAACTAACGGGAAACACTGCTTTGACATGGCAGGGTAGAGCAGTGACCCATAATGCATCCTGTTACAGAGTTTCATGGAAATTTGTTCAGCAGATTTTATCTAATATTCTTACAAACAAACAAACACGTCTGCCAAGAAACTGACAGCGGTGAAAACATCTCTTTGGCCGAAGTGCCTGTTATTAAAATCAATATAGCTCCGTATCATTACCTTAGTTTAAATCCTAAAAGTCAGGTTTCTCAACAGTTTGTGAATATTTTCAAAGTTTTTCTCTCCGTGTCAGAGCCAGAGGCTTCTCCTCATGCAGCTCAGTCACTTAGATTTTACTGACGAAGAGGTCTGGGCACACTCAACCCAAAATGAAAATCCGGACTGCTCAGAATTTATTTGATCAAAGCCCGAATGACAACGTATCTGAAACCACCTCAACTCTTCTGATGCATCATCAGGCACCAAACACACTAACTCACAAACACACCAGGAGCTGCTCACTTCATTTGATCCCGGTGTGATCAGCCCCCCACCCCCCCTCTGAGCAGTGGATGGAATCAATAGATAATTTATTCACAGATTTTGTACAAATCGTAAATTGCACACAGTCTAAATTGCCCTCTGATATTTTCCCCACGATCTACAGCGAGGAGTCTCATCCACTAATTGGTTCTGTCGTCTGGGTTACCACCCATCCCCTCCTCCGTTAAACTTCCTCCCGCTCTGCTCTCACTCACTTTTACTGAATATTTATTGATTAACTTTATTCTCTTTCCTTCCTGGATCGTCCAGTTTAGTCAGATTGCATCTGACAATATCACTTGGAAAGCTTAAAACTGAATCATCAGGTTAGGTCATATCCTGTGCAGACCTGTCCTCATAAACTCTGTCCCCCAGGTGTCCTGGATATGGGAACCCTCCGAGGGCCAGAGGGACAACATTGCTGTCTTCCACCCAAGCTACGGACAGAGTTTCCCCAACTTGGCTTTCAAAGACCGCGTTCTGTTCCTGAACAACAGCCTGGAGAACCCGTCCATCAGGATCTCTCACCTGAAGATGTCCGATGCCGGTCGGTACACCTGCGAGTACGCCACCTATCCCTCTGGAAACGAACAAGGGACCACCACCCTCGTCATGCTCGGTGAGTAAAGAGCTATAACGTGTCCTCGTAACTTTACATCAAATCTAACAGGGACAACAAGCTGCTGTTTATGTCACATGCAGCTGAGAACTTTTCACGTCAACATGTAAAAGGTTCCAGCAGTTCCACTCTTCTGCAAAATACAGCCGAGTCTGAAACAGGCTTTCAAAAGCCGCTCTGCAACATCAGCCCCAGCAAGCGTCTCCCCAGCCACCAGCTCAGCACTGCGTTCTAGAAAAGAGGATCCCATCGGACCCAGAGTCTGAGAAGAAGCAATTTAAAGCATTTGAGGAGGATTCTCTGGGTGAAAAACAAGGGAGACTGGAGCCGGGTTAAGATTCATGTTCAGATGTGTTGATGTGATCGTCTGGCTTCAGTCTGGAACTTCAGATAAACTGGTTTTGTTCCAGACATCACTCTGAGATCAGCTGACATGTTTTTGAGATTGTTTAGATTTTTGGAAAGGATTATATTGCTCGACATGTTCTGGAATATATTTATTATAGTATAGATACAAGTAATTCATTAGGCTTTATTCGTATATTCACTAAATAAATATTAAAAGGCAAGTTTCATTATTTCGAAATGAAGAAACACCAAAGGCAGGTCAACAAAGACAGATCATTTGATTTTAAATGAAATTCTCCAACTCTCATACTAATAATTATAATAAAATGCTGCACAAGTCGTGCAATGATGGAGATAAATAGGCATGGAAAACAAGGAAAGAGAGTCAATAAGTAAGAAACTAATTGGATGAATAAATAAACAGTTAATAAACTGTCTTTAGACAGATTTTTAGTTTGCTTTTAAAAATATAGAAGTTTTCTGATGAGCTCATATTTAAGTATTTGGGCACAAAGACCTGGCTGCTGTTAATGTGTAATTTCAGACAGTAATGTGGATTATTTGACAGTTGAGTCACTCAGACCTCGTTCAGAACTGCAATTAACATCCGCCCTGAGCGATCCGATCACGCGGTGTCACTCGGTACCCGGCTGACGTCCTCTGACTCAGATCCACAGAGAATTAAATGTTGTTTTGCTTCTCACTGTGAAAAAAACTTGAAAAAAGTGGTTCGATAAAGTAGCTGTGTTTAATTTAGTGGCTGATTGTGTCATAGTAGTGCAACTAGACGAGCTAGAGTGGAAACGAAGGCTTCGATGTTTGGATCCTTCCCAAATTATCCCAGGATTCCTTGCGCTTGGCTGTGCAACCGTTTTTGTTTTTCAACCCAAAAAAAACCTGAAATGTGTAGAATTTCTTTAAGTTACCTCGATGCCTCGATTTGTGAATCTGAGTGGATGTTCAGTTGCAGTCAGCGGGGGACACATCCTGTTTGTAATCGGAGACAGCTGGTGTTTTTCATCCACCCACATGTCCTCCCGTTTGCACTCCGCTCACAAAGGAATCAAACGCCTGGCGCCTTTCTCTCCACAACGAGGAGGCTGCATGCTTGAATGTGGAGAACAACAGTTCCCTCTACTCTTACATGGAAGTGCTGTTCTAACAGTAAGATGGCCCAGAGCGTCAGAGCTTGTACGATAACGAGTGCACACGTCGAAACACTGAATCTACACAAATCGTATTGTTTGCACGGAGGCCGCCTGCTGCTTCCTCCTTTTGTATCGTATGGATTCTGTTTGTCAGGGTGAGATGTGGGGGAGACTTTGTCCCTTTTGCTTGCACAAATTGGCTGCAATTTCAGAAAAGTGTGTTTTATTTTGTCCCAGCACAATAAAGGGGGAGATTTGAATGACAGCTGGATTCCTGAAGAAAAAAACAAAAAACTAAAGTATTCAGGTGTTGACTGTGTGTGTTTTTAATTTGTTTCTGCCTCAAACTAGGGTTTGACGATTCTTATCTTCCAAACTAAAGCAGAGCACTCTCTCTCCTGTAAGTCACTGTGGAGATGCTGTTCAGTAAGCGAGCAGTAATTAAATTTAATTCATTACAGTACGCCAGTAGCTGCTGCCAGCGAGCTTCGTGGAAAGAAGTGCTCCGCAGTTCCTTTCATGTGTTCTCCCAGCTGGGCCAATAATATTTTCCCGGGTAGTTCTTCTAAAGTAAAAACCCTTCACACAACAATAGGGAATCCACCTCTGGAAGCTTCTCTCACGCAGAACAGAGGCGAACGGGAGATGCAGAACTTGGCCATCTCGCAGAGAAAACACGGAGATATTCTGGCGGGTTTGCAGATGGATGTGGGCTAAGTCTCCTAAACTGCTGCTGCTGGCACAGAGCAGGAGCAGACTGGGAAATACCTGCTGGAGGGCTCACTGAATCACCTTTTGTCTAAAGCCGCAGCGCTGCCAAGCTCTCTCGGACAGATTCTCGTCCATTTAAAAAAATGCACTCGGTGAACTGAGCGTCCCACAGTCACATTTTATCTGTGGGTTATGTTTTCACCCCCCGACTGTTTCTCAATCGTAAGCAGGGTTACGCAAAAACACAACTTTAACCGGAGTAACGTCACTGACAGTTATCTGTACCGTTGAATCGTTAATGACTGTGATGATTTGATTGATTCGTGGTGGAAGGAGCGGCCGGCAGGTGGATCTCTGACCACAGCTAACAAATGCTAACACCTATTGTACGTTTAAATTTTACCGCACAGATCACATGTTTTTGTTTACAGCACATTCACGCCGGCATCAGGCCTCGAATCAAGACCTCTCCAATCTCATCGTCTTTTTACGAGTCAACGTCTTCGTCTGTGTTCGGCTCCTCTTCTTCACCCTTAGATATTTGTATTCCTAAGCTCACTAGTTTATTTTGAGTCGTGATCTTTGTTCAGCTTTATTTATTCAAGCCACATGAGGGAAAGTGTATTTTGTCTGTGTTTAATCTGAGCAGTTGATAGATGATGATATATGAATCTGAACTCAATATGGAATCTGGTGGAGGTGTACACAGTTTGTCCTTTTAGTCAAATGTAGAATCTTCCAATCGCATTAGACTGTAATGAATTGACGACAGCACCCCAATCATATCACAACTTACTTTAGTATGAATACCTACAGCCCATCGTATCAGAACTTACAGGCTGCAGCATCACTGCCAGCCAATCTTATTCCCACTTATCAGGGTGCGGTTGAAGAATCACTCGCCTGCCAGTGATTATATGGTTTTGGATGGTGGCCGCACAAAATGATTTGTGGTTGTTGGAGCCGCATCGGTTACAGTGCAGCTAGCAGGACAGAAATACAACTGGGGAAGTCTCGGAGATGAATAAACTGCTCAGAGATCCAGACTGAGCAGAATTTGAATTTGAAGAGTGTTGGTGCAGTGCAGAGGTCAGAGGAGTGGCCGCACACTGAAGGGTCACTGGCTGGAGTCCATGCATCATCAGAGTGGTGAATAAGTAGCAGACTGCAGCGAAGCTTTCCCTCTGCCAGACACGACTCAGTGCCGGAGCGGACGTTGATGGGTGGACATTTTATTTCTCTTTCTTCCTCGCCAAGGATTAACGTTATTGAAATCCAGAAAGTCAACAGGTAAATGAAGACCAGCCGTCCGGGCCTGCACTGAAGATCTAGCTTCGAATAAAACAAAGCCCTGATTGCATACTTCTCTTTTTCAAGCAGATATTATGTTCAATCTTGGAACGTGACAATACAACTTTACTTATTTTATACACAAACTACTATTTTCAAAATCCACGTAGTTAATATTTGTCTTAATTAAACAGAAGATGTATTTAGAATTTAGAGTAAAGGTTCATTTATGGTGTAGCAATGGAGGAAATACTAGTGCTATTTAAATTGTGAAAGATTTTATATTTTCATATTTTATTGACAAACTGCTAAGTGTACAAACATATCTGTGTTATATTTGTCGATATGTGAAAAACTGGTTCTGCAGAATTAACAATACAGAGAAGATGTGTATTAATGTTTTTACATTTTGCACAAAGAATAGTTACAAAACCTTAAAAATAAGAAAATTCTGCAAGTTTGGTTTTATTTGTTTAGATTTTACTTATTCGTGAGAACATTTATGTTTTAGTGTAAACTATTTTAAAAAAGAAATATTTTCAAGAAACTGCACTTGTTGGCGGAGTCATACAACAAATGCAGTAATTCATGTCTGTCGTCAGGATCCACTTAAAAACAGTTTTTATTGTGTTTAAACTTGTTGGATTAGACTTCGAGCACCTGTGCGACAGTTCTGTGTCTGTGACACTTGAGTTTTCAGGTAAATAATAGATTTTATCCAGTGAACACAGAAAGAATGCTCTTCTCTCCCTCAACACCAACTGTTGAGACATTCTTCAGTAAAACATCATGACCTCAGTCGTCCTCGTCTCAGTCTCAGTCTCAGTCGCCAGCAGCAGTGAGACAGACGTTGTAGCTCCCAGGTGAAAATATGTGAAGGATGGAGAAACGGGGTCTTGCCCTGAAGAAATCAAGTGTGCACAGCAAACCTCCCCTGGATGAACAAAGGTTCACAGAAATTAAAAAGTAACTCCAGTCAGACCTCATAGTCTCAGCGGCAGTTGTGCACGTACCAGCGAGAGGCATCAGTGCACAGCAACGCATCTTTCACTCTTGAGTGTGTGTACCTGTCACAATCTGCTGCACTTGAGAGAAACCACCGTGTGCATGCGTGTGCATCCCTGCTTGCTGCCGTAGATTCATTCTGTGGGAAACGCTGCAGAGAAACAACAATTCCTGGATCCACACTTTAACTTGGATCTGAAACAAATAGGACTCATCCTTCCCACAAGTTCCGTTTGCATAACTCTGCCAACGAACCGACAAAAAGAGATGTGAGGCCTCCAGGTTCTGTCTTGTTTGTGTTCAGGGTCAGGTCCGTGGGTTGAGAGGTGAAAAACATTTCTGTTAGTTTAGTTCTTTGCTTTGAAAATTCTTTTAATTTCATCCTTTTCCATTTCAGGCACTTAACGAGTGCTTTCAAGCTTAAATGAGCCAAATTAGTCTCAAGCTTAAATTAATGCATTTTGTCAACATCTCCAGCAGCCAATAATGAGTTGTCAAAACAACACACACAGAAGAATAATTGCAGTATGAACTATTCCTGTGTTCCTTGAATATTCATCTCTTGTTAACAGCTGAGCAGACGTGGAGAGCCAAACAGATGTTTCTCCCCCAACAATGTCTGGAAATATTCCGCAGCAGCGCGTCGGTCTGGGAGAAGATGTTTACAAACCTGGGCAGCTGGTGAGACATGAATCCCAAAGATCCAGAAGCTTCTCATTGATTTTTTTGGGGTGAACGGATGCAGCAAAGTATAAACTAAAAATAAAATACATCACGTGTATCTCGAGAGCCGATCATCTCGTGTGTGTTTGTGGTTGAGGGTCCAAAGAAGTGAGACGTGGAGTCAAAACAGAAAGCTCTGCCTGTTTGGAACGGTTTCTGAACCGAACCATGGATTCATGGACTCATCTGTTAAATCTGTTGAACCGGGAGCTGCACTGTAACGACCCAGTTAGGAGCTGATTCTGGGTCAGATTTTGTTTATTTAAGGCAGTAAATGATTAAGTGATGGTGAGGGGGCGGGGGCGCGTCAGTCCAGAAATGTCTCCCCTCTAATCAGCGACATCTCAACAGCAGCATTTGGATTCAGAGCCAAACGCAACAAACCGCTTGTAATCTGGGTTTTTGTAAAGACTGGAGTCCGGCCCAGTTCTGGTCCATATCGCTGTTAGCTCGGAGTCCTGATGGTTCACTGCAGCACAAAGTGAAAGTGACGCTGCGGGTCAGTACTGGACCTCTGTAATTTCCGGTCCGGCTGCCGGGCTTCGGCGCAGTGACGATGACAGATGTCAGCTGTCCTGTGTGGACGCCGCCTTAATTCAGCAACAGCCGGCTTCGCACTCGCTTAGAAAATCCCCTCGCCCGGCAGATATTCCCAACTTGTTCAGGAGTCAAACTGGAAATCTTCCAGTCTCAGGCCGGGTTCTGTTCCTGCTGCCGAGGTACAAAAGAAAGAGCGGCTGTGAGAAGTCCCAGGTTCAAGATAGGGCAAGCATCTGATCTGCTCAAGGGAAATTTCCCACCAGCTGTTTTTCACAGCTTAAGTCAAATTGTTTCTGGAGTTCAAATCATATCTCTGTATTTTATTCTGCGAATGTGGAAGTGCAACATTTCAGTTTCCACAAATCTCTGAGTACTTTACGTAAACCAAACGCACCTCGAGCAGTCGATGGTGTTTGCAAACATTACCGTGATGCAATTTCCTGTCTCCCTGCGAAGCCGCTGGCATTCGAGCGGCTGATAGTACCACAGGAGGGGGGGGGGGGGGGGGGGGGGTGAGGGCAGCTGTGTTTATTCGGTTCTGTTAGCGTGGCGTCCTGCTTGCTTTCAAATTACTCCGAGCCGATGTGAGGCAGCGAGCTGAAGTGGATGCGATGTCACGAAGCACATCAGGGACGGATACCTCTGACTTGTTTAAGTCCCCAGATCAATCACCGACACTCGGCCTCACTCTCCTCTCATTTCTACAAAGTCGCTCTCTGCTTATTTTTCCCTCTGTCTGCGTCCTCTCTCTCTCCCTCGTGAGTGAACTCTCTCCTCCCTCGTCTCTTCTTGTCGCAGCTCTATTCATTTTGCTTTTTGTTTTATCCACCACGCTGTGATTCCTCCTGGTTTCACAAAGAAAACATTGTAAGACTCTTTGGACCTTTTTAAATAAATGCTGCCTGGATCTGAATTTCAGATTAACTTTGAAGCCAGTAAAAAAAGCTGACTGCACCGTCTGCAAATACACGGAGATAATGACTGAGACTGTGAATTTACATAACAAGAAATAAAGGAGGGAGTAAATTGATAATCGCAAATCGAAGGGTTAACCATAGCCGGTTGGTTTTTCCAGGAGCTTTTTACAAAATGATTCCAAACCACCGAGAAAAGAATTGTAAACCTGCACAGCAACATCTGGGCCGTCACTTTTTCTACGTGAAACGTTTGAATGTGGGAAATGTGGTCAAGCAGAAGGTGTGTTGGATGAACTGCTGTGTTATCGACCCGTCGGGACTCGACTCAGGATGTTTGTGAGCGAAGCTGTGATCAGATAATCAGATAACGTGATTCAGGGCTTCTCCAGATTTGCGCTCCCCGGCGAGAAGAAGAAAACTCTGTCCGTCGTGAGGACGATGAGAGGAGACGGAGACAAGGGTGAAATTCAAACCCCCTTCACCTCTATAGATCTGTTCACTTAAAGGTCATCACTCTCAAAGCAGCCGAGGCTCAGGAGCTGCAGAGGGGGTCGTCCACTAATCGGAGGGTCGGAGGTTCTATTCCCAGCTCGTCCAACGTGACCTCGGGCAGGACACTGAACCGCCAGGTTGCTCCTGACGGCTGTGCCTCATATAGAAGAGCTGAGTGAATGCATGTGTGTGTTTTTCACAGTAAATCACTATGAGTGGTCGTTAAGAGGAGAAAAAAGTGATTCATAAATGCAGCTCATTGACTGTTTTTGTCTCAACGGTGCAAATTTGAGGTCAGCAGCATTGAACTCGGTGTGAAACATTGATTTGTCTCGATTTGATATTGATTCATTTCGTCCCCAAGAGCTAATTCTAAATCGATGGATTGACTCTGCTGTGAAATTTGAATGTTTGAATGTTCGGTCACATTTCTCTTATGAGTTTATTTCCACAGAGAGATTTTTGAGTTTAGTGGAAAGAATTTCTTGCTTGGTAAATTCTTTCCACTTCAGTCTCAGCTGCATTCGAATCATTGAAAGGAATTGAGGGGAAATTTATGAAATCAATTTCTGAAGTAAAAAAGAAGTGTGTGCTAGAGAAAAGTAAATCGCAACACTTGACATCACAAAATAATGGAATTCACTGACATTTCCAGATTGACTGGTCGAATCAGAGGTTGAGTTTTCATTTAAAAAAAGAATAAGGACGTTTTCATGGAACATTGACACTTGATATAAAGAGTCCAGTCCGATTTAACAAAGCTGATGTGATGGGAGGAGGGAAGCAAAGTTCTGCACATCACTGTTGGAAAGTAAAAGCCTTGTTACCTTTTGTAATTTGGAAGTCTGGCTTCAGTTGAGGGTTTAATCCTCCGATGATGAAAACCTTTAGGTCAAAGTCAGAAACACAAAAGTGCCTCCCTCTGTGAAAGGTGCGATACGAGGGTCGTGTAACTTTATCTCAGATCCAGATTTTTAAAAAGAGACATTGGTCTGCACCATTTTAATGAACACATTAACACACACACACCTCATTG